AGTTCGACAAAATCGTACTTGTTTAAGCCTTATCGTTTTTAGCAAAACGCTTTTCAATTTCCTCAAGGAACTCGTTGGCAGTAGTTACCTTTTCGGACACAGCGCCCCTAACAGTTTCTGGAATTTCATGCTTCATGATCATAAGACTCATGCGATTTGAACGATCCCACTTCTCAAAGTCCCGTTTTTCCTCATTGGAACTTTCATCCGTAAGAGCAGTGGGTTGTTAAATCCTTAGCGCAAGGTCTAGATCCATGTAGCCAAGAACGATCATAACGTTCTCTTTCCATTCCTTAAAGTTTGTTCCATTTAACAAGGGAATAGAATTGATGTTGGCAGATATATCAGAAGCAAATGTATTAACTGAAAATAGAACAAAATGAAACGTTCACATAAATACCATATCAAACTTTTAACAATTCAAATAATGGTAAGACCCATCACAAGATACCTAGCACAACATTAACATTTAGTCTTTAGACATTAGTATTAACTTGTAAGTGGTACTCTTGGTGTAGTAATCAAATACTAACAATAAAATCCTGTCGAACAACAAGTCTTTCTTTAGACCGACTTATTGTTCACATAGAATACCTAATAATTGTCACATATTTATTACCATAAGTGTGCATGTAATTCAGCCAAATAATGACCTTCCTTTGGGCCGGTCAATATCTGCATGAATTACATACCCGCAACCATCTTGATGTTATAAAATAAATTGATTTACACAAGAGAGGCTACTTTGGTAGCATGTTGTTTCAATCAATTCATATTAAAACATAAGACATCCATAAAAGAAAAGTTGTACCAAAATTTGAATTTAAATTTCTAAAAAAAAGGTAGTCAAAGTCAACAGTCAAAGTCAAGGTCAACGGTAACTTTGGTCATGGCCGGATGGATCGGGTCAACCCAACCTGAATCTTGAATCCTGCCTGGATATCCCTTGTTCCTTTTTTTTTTTGGGTTGCTGAGGGCCAAGCCCGCAACCCTTTCTTTTTTTTTTGGTTATGGGCCGAGTTGGGCCCATTTCTTTCTCCAGCAACTCTGGGCTTCAGCCCAGTGGTTGCATACTGAGGGGTCGCAACAGTCGTGACCCCTGGAGAGTAATGGCGGCCATTCAGGCCGCCAGGCCCAACCGTAGCGGG